TTATAGATAAAGTAATAATAATTATTCATCTTTATGAAATTACAAATTTTTATAAATTATATACAGTAAAAATTTATAAAAATAAACTAAATTAAAAAAAGAAATTTTAAAATAAAATATATTTTTTTCACGAATATATTTATATATAAGGAAATTATTCTCTTTATAATATTTTAAAAAATAAAATAATAAAATTGAAAAAATATAATATATATATGTATATATTTTGAAATATTCAAAAACCTATGATTTAATATTTCAACCCTTTTTGAAATATCTAAATATTTTCTAAAATATTCATAAGTATCAGTAAAATCGTCATGGTCCCAAAATATCTCTAAAATGAGAATAAAAAAAAAATATATATAATTCTGATTTTATTTTTTTTTTTTTTTTTTTTTTTGAATATATTAATCATTAAGATGTTATAAAAAGATGGTTTTTAAAACCTGGTGTGTCTAGCATGTCTGTATTCATATTTATATAAAATCTATTAACAAATAATTCTCCAATTTTTTTGCTTATATCATTTTTTTTTAATTGAATCTTCCCTGTTCTAGCTAAGCATTCTTTTAAAATATAAAAAATTATTAAATATATATATTTATATAATATATATGACAATAAAAAAAAAAAAAAAAATCTTTAGATTTAATAATAATCTTAAAAAAATAAAATTACCTGGTATACCCTTTGTTTTATCGATGGTATCATCAACCACATTTTCAAAATACGATAACTTTACACTCTTAAATAAATACAATCATATTTAGATATATATATATATATATAAAAAAAAAAAAAAAGCAATTTTATTTTTTTAAGGTTATAACTAATAAAACACATATTTTTAATTATTCATAATTATTTTTACTTGTGCAAAAGCATATGAATAACTTAATTTTTCAAAAATGTCCTTTGTGTAAATATAAATTATATCATTCTTTATCTTAAAAGAACATTCAGGCATATCTTTATTTTTAGAATCACTTAAATCATTAGGAATGCTCATAATATAAAACATACTGTCTAATTCATTATTGTTTTCTGTATATGCTTCACTTAAGTAATCTTTTAAGTTCATAAACAAAATCTAAAAAGATAAAAAAAGTACATAAATTATTAAAAAAAAAAAAAAATTTTATAAAGATAACAATAATAAAAATCGTCTTCATAATTTTTTAAACTAATAAATAAAAAATTATTCTTAAAAATTTAATTTATTGTATACAGTTCTATTAATACCAACAAAAAAAAAAAAAAAAAAAAAATAGAAAAAAGAAAAGAAAAGAAAAGAAAAGAAATGATTTTAATTTAGTTACTTCTTTCTCTTTTATATTAAAATCCCATAGAACGATACAACCAAAACGAAATAAAAAAAAAATTTTTTTTTGTTCAAATGCAGAACAAAATATTACTTCGCTATATACTTTTTTTATTCTAAAAAAAAAAAAAAGAATAATTAATAATATTTATATATATATATAAATGTTTAAAACTACAGTTAAATGAAATAAACATTTTTTTAATTCTTCAAATATTTTTTTTTTTTTTTTTTACTTGATAAAATCACTATTTATATTATATGTTTTAAAATCTTTTATGAAAGCTGAAAAATGCTAAAATTATAAAATTTTTAAATATTAATTTTTTTTTAAATGTTTCAAATATACAATAAAAATGTCATAAAAATTATATATATGTATTATAAAAATAAATTTTTTTGAAGTAGCTTAATGTCATTATAATACAATATAGAATTAAGTATGTGAATTACAAAATCTGTTCCCAAACAGCAGGCAATAACAATTCCAGTTGGTTCAATATTTTTCTAAATTAAAAATGAATATATAATATTTTAAAAATAATTACATAATTTTTAGAAATCATATGTTTACCTTTTTTTTTAAAATGTCTAATTCATTCTGCTTATCAATTGGTAATTCAAGTTTCTGAAAATTATAAAAAAAAATTTATTATTCTAATATTAAAAAAAAGTTTATATATTAATATATTTATTTATTTAACTTTTTGAAGAGTATTTCCCAAAATTGACAGAGGTTTTGTCTTATCTAAAATATTCTATTAATCAATATAAATTACAAAAAAAAAAAAAAAAATTACTTCAAAAATATAACTATATATTTTATATAAATTTATAAACATTTAATCTATAATTTTACTAAATTGTGCTTAAATCTTCTATTTTCTTTTCTAAAATATTTAGATGATAAGGTGTTTTCCTATAAAAAAAAAAAAAAAAAAAAGAATTAATAATTTTTAAAACATTAAAAATGTAAAATGTTATAAGAAATAATTAATATAATAAGTGAAATGAGTAATAATTATGTATTTATATTACATTTTCCGATGATGAATTATTTTGGCCATTGTACCTTATGTGTAATTTATCGTTTTTTTCATCTTCATCTTTTAATTGATCTTTAAAAAGTACATACATATTATTACAACATATAAATATTACTTAAAGCACTTCTTTTTATTATTACAAAAAAATTAATATATTATCATTTTATAAATATAATTATATATATACATATTATATATATACGTATATATATTTACATTTTAAATTCTATAAAAATATAAATATATGTGTATATATATTTACTATGTATGCATATTTTACTTTAGTTTTTTTTTTATTTTTTTTTATCTTTTTTCTTTATTTTAAAATAAAAAAAAAAAAAAAAAATAGCATTTGGGTTCATGCTACAAGAGTAGAGGATTTTTTTTTTTTTTTTTTTTTTTTTCACTTCGTGCATCATTTAATTATTTTACAATAATGCAGGAATTTTTTTAGTTTTCATATTTATATATTTTTTTAAATACTTGTAAAATATTTATGAAAATATGTAAATTTTAGAAAACATTTTAATTAAAATTTTCTTCTTTTTTTACTTTTTATATTGTTGTTAATACAAAAGAAATTATGTTTTTTATATTTTATTTTTTGTTGTGAACATTTATTATGTTCGTTTTGTAATTTTTAAAAATAAGGCTTTGTTTAATAAAACAAAATACACTTCGTATAAGTTGTATACATATATATATATATATGTATATACAACATTAATAAATATTTAACATTTTCTAATAGAGGAAAAACGCTAGTATTTTTTTCATTATACTTTATAACCTTCTCAGAAGATTGAAAAATAATAAAATTTTAGAATTAATACTTATATTAATAGTAAAGTACTAGAAATATAAGTTACATGAGTTTTATATGTGTGTCTAGATTATACAATTTTTTCACTAATAATAAAAATAGAAATTTAAAAGTATTAATATTTTTATATTTCTTTAATTTTTTGTTTTAAAATTTTAAATAAATGTAATATATATATACCTTAAAAGAGATTAATTTTTATTATGTCTGTCTTATTTTTTTTTCTTTAATATAATTATTAAAAATCGTTTTTGATTGTTAAAAAATATAAATATAAAAACTTTCAATAAATTATAATTATTTCCTTCCTATAACTTTTAATTATCAAAATTTGAAAAAGTAATATTACATATAACAAGAGATTTATATATTTTTTCCTCCTCTTTTTTTTAGTGTTTAATTCATAATTATATTTAATCAATCTAAAAATAACCTAAAAGGATTTAGGAAACATTTTTTTTTTTTTTTTTATTAAAAGGTATATCAAACTTTAATAGTTACATAAAAAAAGGAAAAACAAAATTTTAAACATATGAAAATCTAAAAAATACGTTATAATAATGACATTTAATAAATAAAATAAAAATATAATATATAAAATAAAATAAAATAAATAAATAAATAAAAAAATAAATAAGTCAAATTAAATGATTAAAACTAAAACCTTATAAAATATTCTTTTAAATATGTCATAAAATCAAAAAAAAAAAAAAAAAAACACACGCACACATATATAAATAACAAACATATAATGTATCTATTAAAAATTAATATTAATTAAATGCATAAACTAAATAAAAATAAATTAAAATAAACTAAGAGAATATAATAAAACATTCTTCTCATAACTCATATGAAATATATGAATATAATTTAGAAAGAAGTCTAATAACTCTGTTAATATTTTTAAATCCATATTATTATTTAAATTGGATACTTTAGACTTATACTTCTTTTTTTTTTTACGAGAAAATGCTTATAAAAGTACATTTATATTAATATCTTATTAGTTTTTCATTGATATTTAAATTTTCTTTTTTGATTTCCATCATATCTGCATAATAGAAACATTCCAACATAATATTTTTCATTTTTATTATTTATTTTACTAATGCAAAATTTCGAGTTAGGGCTACATGAAGATGCTTTTACTTTTTCTAGATCCTTATCAAAAGAAAAAGTAAAACCTAAAAAAATATTGTCATATTTATTTATATAGATATCGGAGCAACTTCCACTTACATCGGTAGTTACATTTTTTTCAGAAATATATGTTACTTGTAAGGATGTAATAGTACGAAAAGACAATGGTACACAGAATCCCCACAATAAATAATCCGAATTATTTTTAGTTTTATCTATAGAACATTTACTATCACCAACGTTACATGGTTTAACCTTTATTTTTTCTAAATTTTCTTTCTTTTTTAGTTTCATTTTAAATCCAAATGCTAAGGTGTTTCCTTCAGAGCATTTTATATCTAATGAATTTTCTTTTGAACTTACACTCTCTTTGTAAATAGTTTCAAATTTTATAAAATTATGTTTTACACAATACATCCAACCAAAACTGATAATATTATCATTTTTAGTTGTATATGAGCATGAAATATCATATTCTCCTTTATTATGACATGGATGAATTTTTAGTCTTGGTTCTTCATTTTTAAGATTCTTTAGCTTTTCAGAAGTGTCATAAGAAAAAATAAACCCAGTACTTTTAATATAGCCAATGGGACAGCTTAAAATTAAAGATCCTTTACCTGATCCTGTAATTTGTTTTCCTTCTGAAAAAACATCTGTTATATTTTGAGAGAGATACAAATTTTCTTTATCTGTTCCATATAGGTTACTATAATATAATAATGCAATGTTATAAGATTCCTTCTTATTTTTACGTATAAAGGAACTTAATGAAACTAAATCAAGATAAACAGGAACATAATTGGAGTAAATGGAATTTTTCCAAATTTCATATGTTAGTTCATTCCATTTTTCATCAAAAAAGTTGCCTCCCCTAATATCTAAATTCATTTCTTTCGTATTTTGAATTTTTTTTTTTATTAAATCATGTTTTCTACTTATTTTCATCTTAAGGATATCTTGCAATACTAATGGTGCTTTAAATATATTTAAATATGTAACATTTCCAATATAATATTTATATTTATATATATTTATTTCTTCTGATTTTTCCATTGTAATTTCTAGTGAATTAAATGATTTTCCTCCAAAATGAGCTGATATTAATAAATGCGTTCCATATTTTTGAAAAAATTCAATCCATGGTTTTATGGTATTTAAACAATGTTCATTGGAAGAATCATAAAGATATAATATTTTTGAGCATTTATTTTCTTTTTTTTTTGATAAAACAGGTAATTTTTCTGTATCTAATAAAAAATCTTTATTCATAGTTTTTGTAGATTCTCCTAAATTAAGTGTGGCATAACTGTGTAAACATGTATTTTGTACTACTGCATATTTTTTTTTCTTTATCTCTAAATCTATAAAATAATTTGAATATGGCATAGATGCTGAAAAGGGTCTTATATTTGCATCCAGATCATCAATATTTATGTTTTCCATTGCTAGATCCATTACATCATTAATGCCTTTTATAACTTTTAAATATTCATCTTTTTTGCAAGCAACATTTTGTATCACATTTATAGTGTTCCTTGTATCAAATATTACTTCTCTAAATCCAGGATCTTCTATAAGTTCGTTATTTGGTAATGGATATCCAAACAAAATATCATATCCTTTTCCTATATATTTGCTAAATATTTCATTCTTGGAATTATTTGTTTCATTTTTTACGTCATAACAAAAAATAGAAGGAAATATATAAAAAAAAAACAAGCATATCCATGTTGTAAAAATATGGATGTTTAAACTATATTTCATTTTAAAAGCATAAATTTTATTAACATTGAAAAATAAAAGATATATAAGATATGTATATATTAAAACTTATATATTTAATAAAATTACCTTTAAATTATTTGATAATAAGCATCTCAAAAAAAAAAAAAAAAAAATGATATCATAGCTAGTAATAAACGAAGATAAGAAGAAAAAAAACACTATACTTTTTTAATACTTAGATACATTAATACATTTGTATAAAAAGTAATTTTTAATGAATGTTCAAACTTTGTCTCAAAAACATGTTTACAGAACAAACTTTTAACTTAGAAAAAGAAAATACAAAAGTATGGTTTGTTTTTTACACAAGAAAGTAATTCTAAAATAATTTTAAGATATAATGTAAAACTATTCTATAAGCTTCTTTAGCTTTTATTTATTAATAGATGTCTTTTTTTTTTTTTTTTTTTCTCCTTTGAAGTAAAATACAACTATTTTTTCATTTATAACAAAAAAATTTAAGTGAACTCATATAGAATAAATAATTTCCTTAAAAATATATTACATTTTAGCCTTAAAATATAGCTAACCATAAAAAAATATGACTTGTTAATAAAAAATTAATAATATATGCATATATATATATTATCGCCTTATGTGTGTAACAAATTTAAATTATTTTAGTTATATCATTAATATTTATAAGTTCAATTGTTATCCTTTTCTTTAAGTTATTATAATGATTTTCGTTTAACTACATATTTTTATAGTTATTATTTAAACTATATATATAATATCTTATTTCGCTCAAAACTTTTGATTTAAACAATTTTAAAAAAAAAATAAAATAATGTTTGTGTTTTATTATTAATATAATCCTTATGTAAACTAACAGGTTCATATTCATAAAAATAAAAAAGTAGTACATTAATGTAAAATCAATTTGAAAATTTTTAAATAGTAAATTATATATTTTATGATTTAAAATCTACATAATTTTTAGTTTTCTTTATTATTATTAATTATTTTTTAATAGTTACACAAATACATGTTTAAAAAATAATCCATAATTATAAAAATTAGAATGTTAACATGTTCTTCAAATAATATATATATGTGAATAAATAAGCAAAATATAGAATTGAAACACTGAAAGTATTAGAAAAGTGACTTATTATTTTAACATAAAATAATAAAATACACGCAAAGAAAAAATTAAAAAAAATTAACAATAGTAACAGAATCATTTATAATTTATTATTTTATAATTTCATAAATTAAGTAAATTTACAAAAAATTGCTTTTTTTTTTCCAAGTTCATATTTTTCCAAATTTTGAAGGGTATTAAATGTACATCATTAAAAAATATTTTAAAATATTGTAATTGAGCTATAGCTGGTTTTGTTAAAAATTTGGTATCAAATATGCTCGATATATCACTTGAATTTAAGTCAGTTTGTAATTTATTTATTGTAGTAAAATAATAATTTTTCGTTCCATATAAGATAGCCATTTTATTATTATCTTTCAAATTTTTTACAAATATATAGTGAGTATATAGAAAAATTGAGTTTTTATTTGTTGTATCGATAAATTTAAAGTAGTAATTTCTTTGTTTTATACTCTGTAGTATTTCATAAATTTCTCTTAGTGAATTTTGGTGGTAAATCATTTCTCTTTTCATGTGTTCACTTTCTATGAAATCACTGGATTTTTGAAATAACCCTAAAAAATAAGTAGATATATAATAATTATTGACTGGAATTTTTTTTAAAAATAAGTTGCTTACGTCTGTAGAATATATTAAAGGAAAAAACTTTTTAAGCATACAATTATTGCTACTATCTTTTTTTTTTATTTTTTCAACTCTTTTGAAAATGTCTATTATATATTTAGTATCGAAATTATATAAATTGGCTTCCTCCTTTCTTAAATAATAATAATGATATACGAACTCTGTGATAAATGTTAGTATGATTGTTGTATACATATCTATCTCTATTTGCATATCTTTTATTTTTTTCAAATTTTTATCATATTTATATTCATGGTTAATAATTTTTTTTTTTTCTAATTTTTTATTTTTTAAAGAAACTAAAATATTTTCTTTCTTATTAAAATTAATGGTATCATTTGTATGTATGTTTCTAGAATTCTCTTTTCCGTGAATATTTTTATCAAATTTTATTAAATATGGATCAAAAAAGCAAAAAAATTGTTGTATATTTAGATATAATTTACTTGTTAAAAAACTATCATAATTATTGTTTATTAATATGAAATAACAGCAAGAATATATCATATATTTTAGTTCATCCAATTCTAATTTATCACTATTACTTTGAATAATAAACATACTTTTTAAGCAATTATAAACTAATTCTTCATCATTTATTGACATAAAATTCATTATTTGAATGATATCAAATAAATTTTTTAAACTTATGTTACATAATTTATAATGTTTTGTATTTTTTAAGTATCCTTTCATTAAATTATAATTTGTAGTATCACTACAACTAGAAAGAAATTTTGTTAATTTGATTTTTAATAAACAGAAAATTGGCTTGCATATTATATTTTGTTGAGTGAAAATTTTTAATAGAAAAATTAGGTGGTTCATACCAAAACTTGAGGAGAAATATAAAATTTTTTGATTTAAAAAAATTCTAAAATATTTTGAAAAAGGAATAAAATTATTCATAAAAAATAATAATTTAAGAAAATCATTTGATGTATAAGTTGATATAGTTCTGGGTAATGATACTAAAATTTTCGTTATTAGAGAATTATCATTATAATTAAAAAAAGATAGAACATTTAAACAATCTAATAATACATTAGTTTTATATTGACTTAAATTTTTTTTTATATTGTCTATTAAATTTTTAAATAAGAAACTATTAAAATAGTTCAAATTTTTTAGTGATATTAAAATAGAACTTATTTCCAACGGTTTTAAATAATTACTTCTTAGAATTATAATCCTTAATATGCTATTATATATGCAAATATGTTTGTACCCATATTTTGACAAAATAAATAAATGCTTGTGAATTTGCTTTGTAAAATAATATAGGTTTCTATTTTTATAAAATAAATTATTCAACATCTTTCTTTTATTTTCTGTAATTATACTTTTAAATTTTTTATCACTATTTTGATTTTCTAACATTTTCGTTATATTTTCCATTTTGTCATATTTTGACTCCTGTGATATTTTAATCATTAAATTTTCTTTTTTATTATTTTTATTCTCAACTAAATTTTTATTTTTCTCATTTAGAATATAACACAACAAAATATTTGCATGATTAGCATAAAAATGAGAAATAAAGTTCATTACAGTTTCATTATACAAATTATTCTTCGCTAAAAAGTAACCTATATTAAAATAATCCATAAATTTGAACTTATTTATATTTAAATTTATATAATAATTTACATTTTTTTCAAATTTATTCGTAATAAGAAGTGGTACATTTAAAATATCTATTAAGCAAATAAACTCATTAATATGCATACTCATTAAATTGGCATCATCAAATATTTTGTTAGTAATATGTAATATTAAAAAAGGATTTAACATATTGTTATTTTTATAAATATGCAATATAAATATTAACTCATTTATATTATAACTATTTATGTCTGCAACAATGGTAAACATTAATACTTTTAAGATATAATATTTTGCTTTATTACCACCTAACAAAGAACTGTTTAAATATTTTAATATTTCCCTTTTATTTTTAATTGTTATAATATTTTTTATGTTCTTATATTTAAATATATTTTCATAATCTAGTTCTTCAATATGTATATTCAATTTTGACATGGTTTCCTTTTCAATATTTCTTAAAAATATAGATCTGTTATATTTAATTATTTTTTTTTTTCTTTTTCTTTTTTTTAAAAAGTTTTCTCCACTTTCTCCTGTTGTAATTTCCAACTTATTATTGTTTTCTAAAAATTCATTTAAATTATTAATACAGTCTATTTTTTTATTTTCTTCATTAGAATAGCTACCTCTTTTGTTATTATCGCTATATTTTTTAAAATCATTATTATTTAAAGAATTATCATCATTCCATTTTTTTGGGACATTTATTTTACTTGAGTAATATTTTTTGTTTACTTTTATTAAGATTCTAGTAATTTTTAAAATGATTTTGTTCGCCACTATTACCATTATTACATAATAATTTTATAAAAATTTTAGTTACTATAATTCATCTTATTTTTTATTTACATGTTTTTTTTTCTTTCTCCTTCATCTTATTTAATTCTTTTTTTGAAGTATTTTATTTATAATAGGATAGAGTGTACATATCTATATAATTTTGGTTGTAATAAATGCTATCATCTGTGAATCCTTACATATTATAATACTTTGTAATCTTTTTAAAAAATTATGTAATAACATATATTTAGGAAATATGTTAGACTTATTTTTGAACAAGAAAATAATAAAAAAAAAACATTAAAATTTATTATAAAAAAATTTTATATCATGTACTTCAAAATATTTTCATTTAAATTTAAAACATAAATTGGATAATAACTTTTCTTTATATTTTTATGATTTATATGCTTTTTTTTTTTTTTTTAAATGTTCGTTAAATAATAAACAATTTATTGCAATATATGTAAAATGAAACATCCTAAAAAAAAAAAGATATTTGTTATACAAAAACAATTTAATTTTATTCTTAATTTTGTGGAATTTTGATTTCAATTTATAAGATAGTACATAGATACTTATAGTTTTTTTTATTTTTTATAAAAATTTCTGTAGTTATTTTTCATAATTTTTTTTTTTTCCTTAAGTTTACTTTAAATGATTTCTTATTTGCTTTATTAAATAAAATAACTAAAAAAGGAAAATTTTTATTACCTTTAATTCATAGTAAAATATTTTCATTTAACTTTAAATCTATATTTTTTCTACATATAAAATACCGAATTGTTGAACTATATTAATAAGATGTATTTTTTTTTTTTTCCACTTTATTCTTTATAATTTAGGGAATATTTCATACAAAACAATTAATAAAATTCAATTATATATATTCAAAAAAGAAGAAACATGCAATGAAAAATAACATTAAAAAATAATATTATAATTTATAAAATGTAAAAAAGAAATTATTTTGATTTAAATATAAATATAATAAAATATATGTTATAAAATGTTAATATAGGTTAGCATTGGTAGTAAATATTAGGAATTATAATGAGATTTTAAAAATTCTATTTAAATATTAAGAATTATATTGAAATAATAAAAAAAAATATATATATATATTAAAATTTTAAAAATTACAATAAAACAATAATATTACAAAAAAGTATGAAAATTGAAAATTATTATTAATTATAAAGAATGATTGTTAAAAAATCTGTTAACTAAAATCAATAAGAGTATATAAAAAGTAATCAATTAAAAATATATAATATTACAAAATATATGTCTTTTTCTTATTGTTCATTTTTAAAGAGAAGAACAAATAATATAAATTATAGGAACATGTATTTCTTGGTTATTTATTTCTTTAACACGAATTTTTAAATCACAGACAGAACTTCCAATAGGGCAAATTAAGTAATCAGGAACACTTGATGAAATATAATCAACTGCAAATCCTGCAATAATAAATTTTCCTTTTGAGCATTTTAAACTGATAATAGTAGTATCATTTAAGTAAATTTTCTTGGTATAAGATTTTGATTCTAAAGTTTCTATTAATTTTTTTTTGCTGTTTGGAAAACAATTGATCCAAAGAAAACTTTGTGAATTTTCATCTACATTTTTACTTTTGCAACTTTTTTTATTGCTTTTACATGGTTCAATACTAATATTTGAGCTAATAGATTTTTGAGTTGTAATTGAAAATCCAAAACCTATCTTCATTTGAGGTGGACAAGTTACTTCTCCTTTTCCATTAACTACTTTTTTTATTTGTTTTATTTCGTTAATGTTTTCATAACTACATAAAATCCAACCAAATTCAAAGCTTCTATCATTTTCTATATTTATTCCACTTGAACATTCATTGGAGGATGGGCATATGTGCATTGTAGTATTATCACCGTAAATCTTTTTTTTATTTGTAATGATAAAGCCACTTATAATTTTATCTTCTTTTTTACATTTAGATGATATATTGAAATTTACATTTTTATCTATATATTGGTTCCATTTTTTTATGTACATTCTATACAAGTCTTCCTCACTTTTATCTAACTGGAAATTGTATGGATTATAGTTAGAATAACTTAAATTGGAATAAAACTCTAATGCCTCATAGTATGCAACCTTTCCATCTTTTGAAATAATAAATTCAGCAAAGGGAATAAAAATTAATTTAACTGGCTTAGCTAAGTTTCCTTTTATGGAATCTTCCCATTTTTTATAAGAATTTTGTTTTATAGATTTTTCAAATATTATTTTATTTCCTCCGTTTAACATTAAATCCCTTTCTTTAATATAAATAATTTTTTCTTTGGATATAATAGAACCAAAATATAAGTTAGAATTGCTATTATAAAAAGGGTTTAGTCTTCTCTTGTATAATTTAATTTTATGAGAACTGTATTTTATGTTTTCATTTTCCACATATAAATTATTTATAATTATACCACCAAAATAAGCTTCTGATACTAAATGTGTTCCATATAAATTAAAAAATGTGATCCACGGGGTTATAGTTTTTAAACAATTTTTATTATATTTATTATACTTATAAAATTGAACATTACATTTATATATGTCACCTTTTATATCTTGATAATTATTTCCTAACTCATTCAATGTACTTAAAAAAAATGAATCTAAATCATCACTGATAACTTCATGTAATGAAGCAAAATATTTAGAGCAAATTTTTTTATCTATAATTATTGAATTTCCGTTGTTGATTTTTTCAACTAAGAGTTTATAATAATTAGAAGCATTAAAAGGATAAATTTCAAATTGAGATGGGAATTTATAACTTTTATATTCATTATTTATATCACTTAATTCATTGATTATATTTGGTTTCTTAGAATGCAAACATTTTATTTTTTTGCGTTTTGATACAGTATAATATAATTTCGATTTTTTTTTTTCATCATCTATTAACATATCATCTAATTCTATTTTATCTTTAAGGATATATCTTTTGTATCCCAAATCTGTTACAAATAGCGGATCTCCTAGAGGATTTCCCTTGATAATATCATATGTCATCCCTAAATAGCTAAAAAAATATTTTTTTTCGAAATTTTCGGCATCTTCAGAATAAAAACTTGTATTAAATATATTTATGTTCGAAAGATTGTACACGGTCAAGTGAATCAATAACGCAAAGACAAATAAGGCCGAATATTTTAATCCCATATTTATAGAAAACTTTATATATTTATTTAGGTAAATACATATCACAATATAAAATTTTTGGAAATTTTAGATATATAGAAATATTTTAAATAAAAATATAAATTTTTTTTTTACAAAAATGTTTTATAATTATTTAGAAAAAAATAAACAAAATAATAAATAAATAAACTAAAAAAAAAAGAAAAATATAAGATTACTAAAACGATAAAAATGCTATGAAGATGTATTATATCTTTATTTTATTTCTTTATATAAATCTGATAGTTTTCTGAAAAAGAATATATATATAAACAATGATTTAATTAATGGTAAATCAAAACATAGTAATAAATTTATTTAAAATACAAAAAATATTCTTATTAATTATATTCATACAAAATTTACCAAAATCTTTGTTGTGTATATATCAAAAAAAAAGTAAAATAATGTGGCTTAATTGTATAAAGAAAAATAATAATGTAAAAACAAAGACAACCAAAGTGTTGATATATTATATGCATATAGATTATATATATTTATATTTTTTTATTTTTTTTTAAATATATATATATATATATATATATAGGTTTCATTATCTTTTATTTATTTATTATAATTGAAAAAATTATTTTTATAAAGTAAAAATGTAATATGAAAATGTTTTATAATCATAGTAAGAACATTTCTTTTGATTATCTTTACCAATTGTTTACTTGTTACAATTCAATTTGTTGTAATCTCAAATATTTATTGTTTGATCATAAAATTATGAACAGTTAAGAAACAAAAATAAGGTTTTTTAAAAAAAAATTAAAAAAAAGGCTTATTACAAAATGTGTAACCATAAATTATTTGAAATTTTAAAAATTAAATGATTAATAATAAATAGTTCGTTTTTATATGTATACAAATTTTTACATCAATTGTATCTTTATGTCAAGGAAACTATTAAAAAAAAAAAAGAAAAAAATTTGTCTTGATCCTTCAGAAATTAAAATATCACTTTTTATCCCCTAATGAGTAAATAACTAAAAAGAAAAGAAAAAATATTTTAATGAAAATTACACAAATATAAAAAATAAATAAGATGAAATTTGATGACCTATTTTATTTTACATATTTTTGATACATGAAAAATATATTAAATGGAGCAAAATCATATGTAAACACATCTATATCGATACATATGATAATTTACTTTCACTCATTTATATAAAAATTAAAGAAGAAAAATATATAGTATAGAAATAATAATTATATTTCTACGAAAAAAATGTAATAAAATAATAGTGATATTTTATACCTTTATCTTGATCCGTAATTTTAAAAAGCTTGTAACTAACGCGTGGTCCTATTTCTATCATTTCTATTTCTTTTTCATTACTGAAATTATTAATATCAATTTTACTAGATATATAATTAAATACGTCATCATATCCACTCAAGTCTTTTTTATATGCTTCGTTTAATATTTTTTTAAATGATCTTTTCTTTAAATTTGTCACATATTGACGAAAATATATAGTTTCATCATTATTATTATAACAATATAATACTACTCTTCTTGGTTTATGTGAAAAGTCACTTTTAAGATTTACACATGGATACAGGTTTTTCAGAACATTCTGTATTATAATAAGATAATTTAACATATCTGAATTTGCATTATTATTGAAGTTTTTTAAAATGAGTAATGGCTTTAAATTATTATAATTGTGATTTGCATTTTTTGAATATTTGGATTTAACTAAAGAAGAAGTGGTAAAACTTTGAATTATAAATGTTAATGATAACTTTGTATAATTGCTTGTAATGCTGTATAGTAATTTAAAATTTTGAATATAAATACAAATTGTGTATTTATAGCTTAACTCTTTTAATTTTTTATTTAGTTCAGATAAATTTTTTAACTTTTTTATATAGAAAAGAGCACAATATGGAATAAAAAGATCAACTAGCTCTCTACATAAGGTTTTTAATTCTGAATTCATTCCTTTTTTCTTAATGACCATTATATTAGTTTTTTTTATTATTTTTTCATCACTTTCTTTTTCCTCTTGCTTATGTTTTCCATCATTTTTATATTTATTATTGATTTTTATTTCTTTTTTCACTTTATTTTCTTTTTTTGTCACCATTTTAATTTCTTTTTTATTAATTTAAAATACTTTTAAAATTCAAATGATAAAATTATACAAATTTCGTACATATATAGTATATATGTATAAAAACAGTTAAAGGATGAAACATAAAGAAAAATTATTATATATGCATTTTTAAAAGCATTTTAATTAAAAATAAGCTTTAATAAATCTTTATATATATACATGTATATAAGCAATATTTTTAATAATTGTTTGTAATAGAGAAGCACAAAAATATGTATTTCTGTTTTTATTTTAATAAAACATTTTCTCTTTTTTTAACAAACATTATGAAAAATTTTTTTTTTTAATTATTCTTTTTTCATATGTTTCTTTTTAATATAATTTTAATTAAACAAGAATATAAATTTTTAATTTGATTCATTAAATTTATATATATATATATCATTTAACATAGCTTTTTGTAAAGAAATATTACTAAAAACAAAAATTTTAAATAGCAAACTTTTATGTTTTTTTATAAAAAAGTAACATTTATATCTTAAAGTAAAGAAAGAAGAAAAAAAATTAAATATATAAAAATATGTTAAATTAAAAAAATTTGAAATATTTTAATCTATAATTTTATATAAAAAGAAAAAAAAAATAATAAATAGAATTAATTAGATACTATTTAATGATATATTGCAGACATGTAATAAAACATAAATATGTTTTCATGAATTTATAATTTTAATATAAAATAATAAAATGATTATTTCATAATTTAAAACTAATGTATTAAAAAAAAAAGATAAATTAAAAAATAGAAAAAAAAAAGAGAAATTGTAAAAATTGTCCTTTTAAAGTTCATTAACTTTATTAAAATGATTTTAGAAGTTGTACCATTATATAGTCACAACTTTTTTAGTACATTGCTAATAATTAAAGATTTGGAATTATTTAAAAAAGATTATGGATTAAATGATACATTGCAAAATGCAAACGAAGAAAAATTGGACCATTTTTTATCTAATTATGAAAATAATGATTTAAAAGGAGATAATTATGAACATTTATATAATTATGATTACTTAAACAACAAAAATGATTTTTACTTAAATAAAAAAGATAAGAATATATATATTCTTATAAATTGTGGATGGGATGATAATTTTTGTATAAACGATATAAAAAATATTTTAAGGTAAAAATAGAAGTTTTAAAAGTATTTTCTATATTATATATTTTTATTATATATATATATATATATTACTTAATTTTATGTATGTTTATATATATTTATGCATTAAAATGTTTAAAAGAAGCAGTTACATAATTTTAAATAAAAATATTTTTATAGGATTTGTGATTACATTGACTTTATTATTATAACTAATCACAGTTTAAATTATGTTGGTTGTCTACCATTAATTTATATGGAATTATTAAAAAAAAAAAAAAAAGTTACTATAATATGTCACGAATATATTCAGTCTTATAGTAAATATGTTTTATTAAGTTATCTAAAATGTAATAAAAGTTGCAATTTTTTTAAAAAATTTAATGAAAATGAATATTTAAAAGTATTAAATGATTTGTTTCAAAACATTACAACACTCGAATATAGAGAACATTTTGTTTTTAAAAAAGTTATATGTAAAAAAAAAAATATTATTTGTATACTTCCGATATATTTCATAAATAATGGAGATAATATAGGTTCTTCTGCTGTTATAATAAAACTCTTTAACTATAAAATTTTATATTCAATAAATTTTAATATAGAAGATTATTCCTTTATTGAAAAATCAGAAGTGATAAAGCAATCAGACGTTTTTACATATATTAGCAATTTTCATTATTCAAATAAAAATTTTACTAAAATGATAGACTTAAAAAATATTTTAAATATAGTAAACAAAACTATAAACAATTTAGGATGTGTTCTTTTTCCAGTTGACATTGATAGTTAAAAAATTATACATAAAAATATATATGTTTATATTGAAATTTTTATAAATAAATAGCATTTTTTTTTCCTTTTTTTTTTTTTTTTTTTAGGTATATTTATTGATCTTCTATTTCATATTAACGCTCTCTTAGAAGTTTGTTCACAAAGATATGCACTATTATTTCTATGCCCCTATTCGTAATTAAAATAATTTTTTCTTTTTTTTTTTTTTTTTTGTTTTATTTAATTATATTTTACTTTAATAATTCAAACAAATTTTTTTTTTTTTTTTTTCCAGAGAAAATTTTATAAGGTTGTTGTTTACGTCTTTAACATATATGAATATACATATCAAAAATAACTTCCATAAAAATAGAATAAATTTATTTAAAATAAAAAATTTAATTTGCTTAAAGAATTATAATGATTTTAAAAAATATGAAGATGGATATTATGTCTTATTCTCTTTTCCTTCTACCTTAAACAATGATTCAGTAAAAAGAATATTATCTTCATTTCTTACAAAAAAACAAAATGTTATAATTTTTACTAAAAAAAATTATTCAAATAGTTTTTCAAATAGTATATGTAATTATATATATTCAAATAAAGATAAAAGCAGTAGAGATTTTTTCAATTTTTCCTTCATTCAAAATATAAAGTTTAATGATAAAAAATTATATGAAATTTATTTGAAAGAAAAAAATAACATTGAAAATGAAATTTTAAAAAAAAAGAGAGAAAAAAGAAAGACTAAAAAAAGAAACGTTAGAAAAAGAAAACAGTTAAATTTTATTTTTGAATCTGTTGAAGAAATGATGTATTTGAAAAAAAAAAATAACTTAATTGAAAAAAGGAAGAAAAAATTAAAAAAGAAAAATAAAAAACAAGTAATTGAAGAAAATATTAAAATTAAAAGTCTAAAAAATAAAAAAATTTATCCTAATGGAAGTAGAGGATTATCATTTAATGATTTTAATACTTTTGTTAACATTAATTTATCCCACTCAGAAAATGATCAAAAAGAAAACAAGGATTTTCTTATAAGTGAGAAAGATAATATTTATTTAAATAAGAATAGTGAAAAAAACAAAATGGATGATTATGTATATGATTATAAAGGTATTATGTTAGGTAAAAACAATTGTAAACAAGAAATAGATTGTAATTATTCTGATAAAGATAACATAAGTAAAGATGAAAAGGGTGTTCCATTTGTAAAGAGGGATAAAATAGATTTTTCAAAAAATTTTGATTCTAATGATAAAAATAGGAGTGAAGAAAATAAAATTAATTTGGAAATGGATGAAGAAAATAAAAAAAGAAAAGGATATAATAATGATTGTAAAGGAGATAATAATAACAAATATAATAATAATGATCACAACCGTTATGAAAAAAAAAGCGATGATACGGATGCAGATAATTGTAATGATGATGATAATGATGATGATGATGATGATAATGATGATAATGATGATAATGAAGATAATGATGATGATGATAATGATAATGATGATGATGATGATGATGATGATTATAATGATGATGATGATGATGATGATGATGATGATGATGATAATGATTATGATGATGATGATAATGATGATGATGATGATGATGATGATAATGATGATGATGATGATGAAAGTGAAGATGATGAAAATGAGGATGATGAAAATGAAGATGATGAGAATAATAGTAATAGTAACATTAATTATTTCAATAGTGAAGAAGATATAAATAATAGCATAAATAAAAAAACATTTTTAAAAAGTGATAAAAGTTCTTTATATCTTATTAATAAAACTGAAAATATTGAACAAATTAAAGGTGAGAATATGAATGTAAAGGATTTTGATAAACTATATGATTATGAAGAATATAAAGAAAATGAATATAATTACAGAGTTAATAAAAAGAATAACAAAGTATATGGTCTTGAAGATGATGAAATTAAAAATGATATTGATATTAATGAAAACATATATAAGGTATACAAAGATAGTGAAAAAAATTACGATGAACTTGTTAAAAATTTAAATAAACAAATTTTAGAAAATGATTATGAAGAAAGTGGAAAAATATATTATCCAGATTTAAAAAGAGTTAATCAAATTGTAAATATTAACAAAGAAAAGAAAAACACAAATATAAAAATAGAACAAAACAGTGATGATAATGATATGGGAAAATTAAATAAAGATTATGTAACGAATTATATTGAAAATTGTAAAGAAGATAATACTTCGATGTCAATAAGAAAGGATATATATGATTATTATGACTCAGAAAAAAATAGTAATAACGAAGAGAAAAATTATGTAAAAAAAGAACATGAAGAAATGAAAACATTTACTAACGTTGATGAAGAGAAAAAAAGCAATTCCAAAAAAAAAGATATTTTTGGATATTATGAACTCAATGAAAAAAGGAATAAAAAAAAAAGTGCACTAATAAAAGAAATTAGTCTAAATAATGTATTTAGTAGTGGTTATAAGGAAAACAAAAATGCAAAAATAAATAAAAAGAAGCTGTGGAAACAGAGATTAGTTGATTACTTAAAAAAAATTCCTAAAAAATCAAAAGAACAAGAAATTTCAATTTATATAGATTGTGTAATTAAATCTTTTAATATGGAAAATTATGTTAATCAAAATACTTTGAGAACAATTTTATGTTTAATGAAACCAAAAAATTTTATATTACTTCCAAGCTGTAATAGTTTTTTTTCTTTTAATTTTGAAATGCTATTACACTCTTCAATAAAAAATGAAAAAATAAATTTTTACACTTTTTATTCACCCAATTTTTATGATACAATTAATAAAAAAGATCTATTTTATAAACGTTATTTTTGTCAAAGAGCATCGTCAATTAATTCAGTACAAATATCTTTAAATGTTAATTATGAAAATGTGTATATAAAAAGTATATATAACTTATTAAATGCAGCTAATTATGGTGATAAATTTAATGTTTTTAAAGTTAAAGCTAACATAGTAGAAAAAAACGTTCAAAAGCCTTCTCATTTAAGTATTAAAAGGTAAATGATATTTTTTTTTATTAAATATTTTATAAATTTTTTTTCTTTAAAACTACTTGTTATCAAAATAAAAGAACAAAGGAATATTTATAATATGTATTATATATATATATGTATGTATATATATATGTATATTTTTTTTTTTTTTTTTTTAATAGAAGAAAAAGGTTTATAAATGAACACAGTACTTTTTGGAGCGAATATAATGATGCAAATTACATACTGTGTTTAGCAAATTGTAGTGATGAACTAGAAGAAGAAGAAAAATCAAAAGATGATATTTGTGATAACATAAATGAAGATATGAAAAAAGAAGAAAATGATGAAAAGAAATTTTTAAATTACTATTTAGATAATGATGAATATAATTTAAAAGATGAAAGTAATGAAAATTCCATTATAGAAGTGGATTCTAGTTCAACATCAGAAGTAGATCAGAAAAGTTTTTACCAAAAATTAGATGAAGAAAATAAATTAGATGGGAATATATATATTGGTGATGTAAGTATGCAGACTTTATCAACGTCAATTAATAATGTTTTTCATAATTGTTTGAATTTTACTGACAAAAATCAAATAATAATTAATGGAAAAACATGTGTTAAAAAAGAAAAAGAAAGTGATAATATCATATGGAAGATTGATAGTTCTTTAGATCCATCTTTTTATTTTTTAAGAAATATTTTAAAAGATATGTACAACAACATTTCTATATAAAATTATAATATTTTAACTTATTTTTTTTTTTTTTTGTTAAAAAAATTTAAATTATTCCTTTTCAATACTAATTTTTTTTTTTTTATGTATTTTTAATAAAAATAATGAATGAACATTTGAAATATTGTTATACATTTTATATTACTTATTTTAAATATCTTTATTATCATTTAATAACTGAATGTTAAATTAAGTATTTTTTCTTTTTCTCAAAACAATCTTTATAAAAAATGATGAATATGAGAATAATGTTTCAGGTTTTGCAGAATAAAACATTTATAGTAGATTTTTTTTTTTTTTTTTGTATTATCAATTATATTCTCTTAAATCTCATATTTCTTCTTTATATAAGCCATTGTATTACTTGAAATCAAAATAAAATTTTACACTTGAACAATTTATTATTTATTTTTTTATATTTCTTCTTACAATTATATAAACTTAAATTACAAAAATGCTAAATTTAAGATTAAATGAATTTGAAATATTACTTTCAAAATGCTTTAAATAAAATATTACTTTAAAGTTCCAATAAAATTATTTTAAAAAAAAAAAAAAATAAATAGAATAAAATAAATGAAATAGTTATTTTAAAATTTCATAGAAACAAATTACAAAGTATAAAAAATAATACACATTATAAATATATATATATATATATATTCATAAATAATAAGATCATTAATATAAAACTTAAAATTAATGAAATTACTTAATGATAAATATATTAAAATAAAAACCTATATATTTTACATAATGCCGTTGTGTATACTATTTTTTAATTTACAAAAAAAAAAAAAAAAAATAATAGAAATATATATTTATATAAAATATGCATAATTTTTTTTTTTTTTTTTTTTAATTTTATGATATCAATAGTTATTATATATATTAAAAAATAGAATCTTTAAAAAGTTTAATCAACTTCTTCAACAGTTGGTCCAGTTCCTGTTGGTGCAGCTCCTGGCATTCCACCTGGGAAGTTCATACCACCGGGCATTCCACCTCCTGGCATACCACCTGGCATTCCTCCTGGCATACCTCCAGCTGCTCCTCCTGCGTCTTGATATATTTTAGACATAATAGGTGCACATACTGCTTCAGCTTCTTTTTGTTTAGCTTCATATTCATCTCTATTAGCTAATTGATTCTTTTCTAACCATTCAAGAATTGCAGTAATAGTTTTCATGCAGCTTTCAACTTCTGATGGTTGTAATTTTTCTTTTATTTTTTGATCTTCTAATGAACTCTTAACACCATAGCAGTAATTTTCAAGGCTATTTCTTGCTTCAATTCTCTTTCTATTTTCTTCATCTTCTGCTTTGTATTTTTCAGCATCGTTAACCATACGATCAATTTCTTCTGGTGATAATCTTCCTTTATCATTAGTAATAGTGATATGGTTTTGTTTACCAGTAGATTTCTCTACAGCAGTAACATTTAATATACCATTTGCATCAATATCAAAAGTGACTTCAATTTGAGGTACTTTTCTAGGTGCTGGTGGAATACCATCTAAATGAAATTTACCTAATAAATTGTTATCTTTTGTTAATGCTCTTTCTCCTTCATAAACTTGTATTAAGACACCTGGTTGATTATCAGCATAAGTAGTAAATATTTGACTTTTTTTTGCTGGAATAGTAGTGTTTCTTTCAATTAATTTAGTCATAACACCACCTGCAGTTTCTAAACCTAATGATAAGGAGCATACATCTAATAATAATAAATCTTGAACTGCATTAGATTGATCACCAGATAATATAGCTGCTTGTACAGCTGCACCATATGCAACAGCTTCATCAGGGTTAATAGATCTGCATGCTTCTTTACCATTGAAAAATTCTTTAATTAAGCTTTGGATTTTTGGTATTCTTGTTGAACCTCCTACTAAGACAACTTCATGGACACTTTTTTTGTCCATCATAGCATCTTTTAATACTTTTTCTACTGGTACTAAAGTATCACGGAAGTAATCAATACATAATTCTTCAAATCTTGCTCTACTTACGGTTACACTATAATCAATACCTTCAAATAAGGAGTCAATTTCAATGGTTGCTTGAGTAGAGGAAGATAAGGTACGTTTTGCTCTTTCACATTGAGTTCTTAATCTTCTTAATGCTCTACTGTTTTTAGATAAATCTTTTCCTCTGTTTTTTCTTTTAAAATCTTCAACACAAAAATTTACTAATCTGTTATCAAAATCTTCTCCTCCTAAATGAGTATCACCTGCAGTTGCTTTTACTTCAAAAATACCATCTTCAATTGTTAATAAGGATACATCAAATGTACCTCCTCCTAAGTCAAATATTAAAATATTTTTTTCACCTTTACCTTTTTTATGTAAACCATAAGCAATTGCTGCTGCTGTTGGTTCATTAATAATTCTCATAACATTTAGTCCTGCAATAGTACCTGCATCTTTTGTTGCTTGTCTTTGTGAATCATTAAAGTATGCTGGAACAGTAATGACTGCATTTTTAATTGATTTTCCTAAAAATGCTTCAGCATTTTCTTTCATTTTTTGTAAAACCATTGATGATATTTCTTCTGGGTGAAATAATTTCTTTTCCCCTTGATAAGTTACTTCAATCATTGGTTTTTCATCAACACCTGCTTTTACAGTAAATGGCCAGTGTTTCATATCACTTTGAACAGATGATTCAGTAAATTTTCTTCCTATTAATCTTTTTGCATCGAAGACAGTATTCTCTGGATTTCTAGCAACTTGATTTTTAGCTGCATCACCAATTAATCTTTCAGTATCAGTAAATGCTACGTAAGATGGTGTTGTTCTATTACCTTGATCATTTGCAATTATATCTACATTTTCATTTCTCCATACACCAACACATGAATAAGTTGTTCCTAAATCAATACCGATAGCGATATTTGATTCAGGTAAATTTTGTTTTGTTTTTGCGCTTGCCATTTTGATTTAAAAAATATTTTCAATATTTATATATGTATTTTAATTTTTTATTTAAAAGTAAAATACTCTTTATAAAAATAAAACTTTATAAAAAAAAAAAAAAAAAAAAAAAACTAATTATCGGCTAATAAAATTTTTCTTTTATTTTTTTTTTTTTTTTGAGAAAATGCAAAAAAATGAAAAAAAAAGAAAATATATATACGAAATAAAAGAAAAAAAAAAAATTATAAAAATATATCAAAATAAATAAAAAGAATATTATTTAAATATAATGTATTGTTTATTTTGAAAAAATTTTTAATAAAATAAAGATACTTAATTTTTCATAAAATTTATTTTTTTTACACGATAAATAATTTTGAAAAAAAAAAAAAAAATTTACTTTATCTTATTTTTATTAATTTTTTAGATTCAAAATTTAAGGGACTAAAATTCGTAATTTCAGGTTTTAAAAAATTTTGAAAAAAAAATGCGGGGCCTTTTGGCCCCTTTTTTTTTTATTTTTTTTTTTTGTAGTAATTTCATAATAAGAATATTTATAATTGCATGTTTTTTAACATTTTCATTAAAATACATAATACAGAATAAGAACAAAAATTTTAATAAAAATTATAACATTTTAAATGCATTTTTTGCATCTTAAAATTATATTTTAATATATATTATTTTTACATGTTATTTTAAAAGTGAATTTTTTCAAATTTTTATAATAATCATGAAGATATATGTTTTAAATATTGTTTTACTTTTGAATTATGAATATGTATTTTTTTAGTCCCCATGTTTTTTTCAAGTTTTTGCAAACATGCATTGAAGAATAATTATATTTTAATATATAATTACCTATAAAGACATAAAATTTTAAAGCATTTCAAATTTATACAAGATAATGAAAATTTTTTTTTCTTATTATATTAAAGTAAAAATTTTCATCAAAATAATCAAAACATTTTTTTTTTTTATTAAAGAGATTTTAAAACAAAATGTTTAAAAATATATATACCATATTTTTTTTTTCTTCATTCTTAAAAAGATGTGTAAATATTAAAGAAAAATAACATTTAAAAGTTCCTCTAATCATTAACTATAAAATAAGTTAATTTCTAAAAAAATAAATTTTATGTTATAATAATATTTATTATATGTTAATGCTTTAATAACAGAGAATTAATAATTTAGGTATATTTTATTTTTGTTTCTTACCAAAATTTTTAAATGAATATAATAGTTTAAAATTATAAAAAAATAAAATATCTTGAAAGATTATTTTTCACTTAATTTTTTTTTTGATAAAAATAGGAAATTTTTTTATTAAGTTATTATTTTAAATAAATATTTATTTTAATATTCTTTTTATTTTCATTTCCTTTTAAGAATTGAACTTATATTTATAGAAGTTGTAAGAGTAAAGTTATATTATTCTTTTCTATGTCACTGTAACATCTATTTTAATTTATAAAAAAAAAAATGAAGTAATAAATAAATATTTTAATGCTTCAAGTAGGGAAAAATAGCAAATTGTGAAAAATATATTTTTAATTTACGATTTCGATTATGTTTTTTTTTTTTTTTTTTTGTAAGAAATTTTGCAAATTTATTGTTTTCATTTCTTTTTCTTTATTTTTTTACTTAAATCTAAAGAAATTATTTTATTATTTGATATGGTCATAAAATAAAAAATAGCAAAACATTAAAATAGAATAAAATGTATTAATTTGTATCATATAAAGGAAATTTACAAATTTTTTTTTTTTTTTATTTTTCATTTTTATCTTAAATTGATTCATTAATTTTATTCTTAACCATTTACTAATTACTAATAAAAAAAAAATTCATATTTGTATTTTCACAAAAAAAAAAGTTTTTCTGTAATAATAGAATATAATAATTATTTCTATATATATATTTATCACTTTATGTATTCCAAATATTTCATTCCATTTGTTTAAATCTTTACCAAGAAGTTCTAAGAAATTTCATTAACTCATCAATTTAAGATATAACTCTCAAAAAATATATATATTCATTTTATCTAGAATTTTCTTCTAATTTTATAAATTACCGTTTTTACATGATAAAAATGTAATATTCATAATATTATATAAGAAGAAAAAAACATTCTCAAAATAATGAAAAAAATAATAGTTTTTAACTACATAAAGCAAAATAATTACTCCATTTTAAAGTAATACATAATTGATATCTTCAATATATGTAACTTCGTTTTAAAATAAGGATTAATGAATAAATTTAAAAGAAAAAATATAATAATTTCATTAAATAAAATTAAGTACATCTATATATATGAAAACACAATTATTTTATATTTTTTTTTTTCATGATGATAAATTTAAAAAAAAATTAACAAAAGATTATTTAAAGGAAAAAAGAAAAAAACTATAATTTGATAAAAGATGAAAAAAAAAAAAAAAAAAATAATAAATAGTAATATAAAAAAAATTGTATGTTAACAAGAATTAAACAAAAATTCAAAAAATAAAAAAAAAAAAAATAAAATAAAATAAAATAAATAATATTAATTTAAAAAGGGAAAAAAAAAAAAATAAAATAACCATTTAAATATACAACTTCCAAAGCTTTCTATAAAAAATAATTATCAAAATATGCTATAGTAAATATATAAAAAAAATTGTAATTTTAATATATATTTTTATTTAATTAATAAAAATGCTAAGGAGAAATATAAGATTGAGAAAAGAATATTTATATTTAAAAAAAATTGAGGAAGAAAAAAAACAGTATGCAGAGAAAATAAAGAGTATAAAAGAAAGCTATGAAAAAAATAAAAAAATTAAGAGCCATTTAAAAAATGAAGAAAATGAATTAAGAAAAAAGATGGATTTATATGATGAAAAATCACTTAATAGAAATTTTGACGATGAATATTTTTTTTGCGGTATTGAAAATCCGCGAGTACTTATAACAACTTCAAGAAATCCATCATCCCAATTGGAAAATTTTGCAAAAGAAATAAAGCTTTTAATTCCTAATAGTGAAAAAATAAATAGAGGAAGTTATTTCATTAAAGATATAATAAATTTTGCAAGAAAAAATAATATTACTGATGTAATTATTATACATGAATATAAAGGAATACCAAGAAATTTAATTATTTGTCATCTGCCTTTTGGCCCTACTTTATTTTGCACCATAAAAGATTGTAAGATGAGGCATGAATTTAGTGATCAGATAAATAATATTTCTATGTGTAATCCCCATTTAATTTTTCATAATTTTAATTCAGATTTAGGTAAAAGAATTATGAACATTTTTAAATATTTATTTCCCCCAGTTAAAATTAGAACAAATAAAAGAAAATTCTCAAAAAATAACAAGCAAATTTCAATTGTAAATGATAAACAAAACAAAATTAAAGAAGAAAGTGAAAAAGAAGATGATGAAAATGAATTAGAAATATCTATTAAAAATAGTGAATACTACAATTTGCAAAAGTTTGAAAATAATAGAATTATTACATTTTTCAATAAAAATGATATTATATATTTTCGTCATTATAATTGGAATACTAACGAAAAAAACGAAATAATATTAAATGAAATGGGACCCAGGTTCAGTTTTGTTGTTTATAAAATAAATAAGGAGACACTTGATTCATTAAATGAAGACTATGAATATGTGTATCGCCCTTTTTTAAATTCTAAAAAAACATTATTGTCATAATATTTTTTAAGTTAACATTTTATGTAATTTAATCATGTTTTTAACAAGCTATACATTAACATCCTATTTTTATCTTCAAAATTATACACTATATAAATAGATATACCAAATAGCTAAAATTATTTTATTAATTTTTTTTTTTTTTTTTTTTTTTTTCATATTAACTTAAAATTTTAAATGTTTTAAAATAATATATGTTAAATTTTAAATTAAAATTATATTTGCATTAAAATATTTAATTTGTTCATTTTGTTAATTATTTGTATATATTTATTAGGACATTTATATTTTTTTTCTTTTTATAAATAGTGTATATTTTTCATCTTTAAAATTACATATTTTTGCCATTTTTAATTTTATTTTTTTTTTTTTATTAACATTAATTATAAAATATAAGTGTTAGTTTTTTTCTTCTCGATTATAAGAGATGACACCTATTATATGCCTTTTTTTTTTTTTTTTTTAAAATATTATTGTATGTTATAAAAATAGTATATATGAAAGTTTTTTTAATAAAATAGAATATATATATTAATAAAAAAAAATATTTACTTTACAATTAATATCTCTTTAATAAAAATATTAATTAAAAAAAAAAAAATACTTTATTTCAAAAAAAGGTATATCTTTTTTAGTTATTTTATTATTTTTAATAAATATTAGGAAGACATTAATTTTCTAATTAAATTCTTTTAGCATTAATAAAAAATAGAATAAACACTAAAAAGATGAAAATGGACCTATAAAAATTTCCTTTACTAAATCAAATTATTTCCATAAATAATTTAAAAAATTTAAATTAATAAATCATTTTACTACATAATAGAGTATAAATTAATATTATTATTATCCATAAATATAATTATATATATTTTATTTTCAATATTAAATATTTTACTATTAATATTTAAAAAAAATTATTCTTAAGTATTCATTTTTTTTTTTTTTTTACTTTTTAGTTTATATGTAAAAATACAAAAATATGTATATTTCTAATTAACCGAATATTTGTCTCTAGATATAGTTCAATTTGATGAAGTTAAAAATATCTCATGAATTTTCGAAGATATTAATTAAATGCACTAGAACATATATTTTTTTTATTTTCTTTGAAGATTTTTTTTATATACATAATGCATTTTTTCTGTGAATTTTTACAAATAATAAACTATAATAAACATGATTTTTTTATATTTCTTTTAAATAATTTTATTTATCATTTCTTTTCTAAGTTCATCCTTTTATAAAAAAAAAATATTATTAAAATTAATTTTTAATTTCATTTGTTTCTAAAAAAAAAAAAAAAAAAAGAATAAATAAAATAGAGATGCGTGTATTTATAAATAATTTTTATGTTTATATGTAGATATTATGATCATATATAGAACAGTTTACATATTTTTATATTACCTTTTAAAAATATTGCATTTTTAATTAAAAAAAAAATAAATGAAATAAAATTAAAATAATGTATTTTTATATTATTAATATTTTATAAATTTTATAATTAGAATAATTATATTTTGTATTTAAAAAATAGATCTTCATAAAAACAGAAGTGTTCTTTTAACACTATTAAATTTTTTTTTCTTTTCAAAATTTTAAAATAATATAAATGTAACATATATAAATATACAATAACCAGTTATCATTTTTATATGAAAAAATACAATATAAAATAAAGTAGATGCACATTTACATATTATTATTAATATTATTTTTATTTAATTTTTTGAAATTATTTATAAATATGTGTTCTGTTAAATGTTTAAATATTTAAATAAAGAATATTAGAAAAGTTGAGCTAAAACAAGCATGTAATGAATTTGAAAGAAAAGAATAAATGGAATTATGATAATATAAAATAAATAAAAGTACTACGAAATATATAATTTTACCAATATATATAATGAGAAATATGTACATATTATTATTCATTTTTATTTTAAAATTAGTATTTTTATGTACTTATGAAAAATGAAATAATTTATGTTATAAAAGAGAATAAGAAATTTATTAATTATATTTCACTTTTCACTTGATTATTTATTCTCTTTATTTCTTTTATTATATCTTTTTTTTTACTTTTTTTTTTTTTTTTTTTTTGTATTTTTTGCTATGTTTTTTTTTTTATT